TAAAGCCTAAACATATGGACCATTAGGTTAACTATAAAAACATGCTATTATTTTAGAGAAAATAAGGATTTTCGAAGGCTTTGTAATTTTTGAAACTGCCGAGTCGATTTTGACTCATAACAACCCTATAGGACAGAGTAGAATTTCCCCATAGGGTTTCCAAGTCTGTAAATCTTCAAAGAAACAGACTGCTACATTTTTTCTTGCAGAGAATCTGGTGGGTTTAAACAGTGGAACTTTTGGTTCACAGCCAAGTGCTTTAAGCATTGAATGTTTTAAGTTGTTAAATGCTGTCACTAAAGGGCCTGCAATTTGGTGTATTGGGCATATTATTCCATGGAATTGTGTTGTCATCTGGCATTATGACATTTGAACTCCAGGGAGAAATTCAGTAGAGTGTCTAGCCAATATGTTCTAGCCATCTTCCTGAAGCTGCCTAATGTCTACTGTGTTTTGACCCCAATTCTCCCAAAGAACATTTCTCCTTCCTTCCATCATGTTTCGAACTCTCACTGACTCATCATTAGTTGGGACAGATCCTAGGAGACCATGAAAGTATTCCTTTGGATTTTACGTTTAATTCCATCCCAACTTCTAACAGAGTGAACAGGATAGCTATCTTACTTAAATGTCTTCTGTAAAACATCTTTCTTTATTTTTCACTCATGTTGTTAGAGTTCCTTATAATAAATGAAATTCCTGCTATTGTCTTTTTAATTCATTTTGTTTACTGACCTGAGAAGAAACCCAACAAAATAAAAAACTTGCCATGATATCTTAGAATTTTTATATATGATAGAATATATTATAATAAATCTCTTTGTATCATATAGATTTGGATACAGCATGAACCAAATTTTCTCTCTAAATGTAATACAAAAGAGGCAAGTGGTGGTTGCCCCAAGACAGGGATTTCCGAGCTCTTGGGAGATTGTCAGTTCACTTAGAATAGTTTACACTCTCAAGGAGCAGAATGAGGCCATATGTGGATCCCATGCTCCTTGTCAGATACCCTGAGGTAAAGCTTTGCCTTGAGTGATGGTAAATCCCAGGATGCTGTTCTCTGAGAAACTCCCTTCCTTAACACTTAAGTTATTTTCTCTTCCTTAAAATTTGTCCTCATCATGGGAGATTGCAGTCAATGTCATGAGACAAGGTTTATGTTGAACCGCAATACAGAAGATGAATTTGGTCTGTAAACTTTCACCCAAATGACAATAATTTTTTTTTTTTTTAAATATCCTCATCAAACAACTATCAGTTGCTAAGCTATTGATGCTAAAACATGAGAATGGAAATTGAGTTAGTCAACCCTGTGCATGCTGTGAATGCCTGGATATTTGAAATCTGGCAGCTAAGACATCAAGTAATGAATATTTTAACTTTCGAGTCAAGTATCTAAGAATCACACGGATATTGCTCATGGCTGCTTGACCTCTTCATTCAGAAGAAAAAGATCAATGCTAGAGAATTTCAGTCTCCTAAGAACTGCCAATCAACCATGAATTTTTACTGTGACTGTTACTCTAACTTCTGGCTGGATCCTTGTGGGCAATGTTGTCTGAAATAAAACATTTCAGTCAATTAAGTTTCACAGTAACCATTCCTCTTCCCACTATCTTCTTTATATCCCATCTAGATCATGTCTGCTGTTCTTCTAAAACAGGGTTTTATGTGAAATGAAAGCAAGGTGTCAACAAAAGTCTCTGACTCTGACAAAGCTGTGGGAGATTTTTAAGGATTTGGAAATAGGTGGTTAACACCAGGTTATATATTACATTGTTCAGTCCAGAATTGTGATCTGAACAAAGTTTCTAATTGTCCAACTTGAAAATTCTATAAACTATGTGGGAATTCTTGTTGAGAAGCTAGGATTCATTTGAAGGTGACAAAAGAACATATGTCTATTTAGCAAATACAACCAACTTTATTTTTAAATGCTGTCATCTTTCAATAACTTTGGCATTGCTTTTGTGGCTATAATAAAACAAATAAAAATGTTTCATTAGTATTAATATTTATATAAAACATGGGAAATACAACTAAATAATTTTCATGGCCCAAGAAAACAAGTTACCAAATAATTTATGCATATTTTGAATAAGGAAACATGGAAAATTTGGTAACTCCAAAATACAGAGCATTTCTATTACTTCTAGTCCAAATATGGTGGTGAGTGAGGTCAGTACTGCTAGACCACAGCTACTCTGGGTGGTGGATAGGGAAGTGTCAGAGGAAACAGAGAATAAAGGATTAGAGACTACCTTAGATCCACTGGGAGACCCTGCATGGTTCAGATGGTTAATGTTCAGCTACCAACCTAAAGGTTGGCAGTTTAAATCCACTCATAAGAAAATTGGAAGGGAGGCTTGGTGATCTCCTTTCAAAAGCTCACAGCCACTGAAAACTCTATGGGGTGCAGTTCTCCTCTGTCACACATGGAGTTGCCAGGGGGTGGAATTGACAGAAACTGGTCTGAGTTTTGGTTTTCAAATCTACTGAAGAAGAGACATTGTGGAAATTTGTTTTCCTTTCTTCCCACTCTTACACCACAGGGTTTGTTTAGATTTCAGTTCATTTCTTGTCTGAGTCAGAGTTGACTTGATGGCAGTGGGTTTGATTTTATACGTGATCCAAGAATGCAGTAGTTAAGTGCTCCACTACTAACCAAAAGGTTAGTGGTTCAAACCCACACCATGGGAGAAAATGTGGCAGTCCACTTCCATAAAGAATATAGCCTTGGAAACCTTATGAGACAGTTCTACTCTGTCCCACTGAGTGACTATGAGTCAGAATCGACAACAAGAGTGCATTTGTACTTAACCCTAGTGTGTTCCTATTGCTCAGCAGGCAGAGACAACTGTTTAGGAAGTTTCTCTGAGCACTGGCTAGCATTAGAGTGCTGGAATACAAGCTTTGCATCATTAAAGTCTATTTCAACAGATACTCATTGGGCACATTGTAGGCATAGGTATCCTGTAATTGTAACCTGTACTTTCTATTTCAGTTCTTCACTCCTTCCTTAGCTCTCTAATCATTGACTTTTCCTTCTACTTTCTTTCTTCATCTCCCACACCTTTCCTTCTCTCTTTAGTTATCTTCTGTTCTTTCATTGATTCTTCTCTCATTGATCCTTCCTCGTCTTGATTTTTAACTCGCTTTTCTACTTACTATTTTACTACTTTCCCTATAACAAACTCAATTCCAAATATTAATTTGATATTTTAAGTGGAGTATTAAGCACACACTATGGCAATGCTGCAACATTTACAGGACCCACCAACTATGCTATTAGCTCAAGTCACAAAATAAGCTCAAAGAATGGAGTGGAGCTATTTTTTATCATTATTATTTTATCATTTTAGTTATAAGTATTGCTGGATCATAATTCAGGTAATATAAACCTTTGACAGAGTATTGTTTCATAGAAGCAGCAATACCCTATAGAAAATGAAACCAGGCAGGAAATCGGGAGATAATCAATCCTACTCTTCCAAACACTGAGTAACCTTCAGCAAATAACTGCCACAGGGTGTGCATAAGCCATGGTTGGCTCTTTTGTAAAACAGAGATAGTATTTGATCTTAATATCTGACAGAGATGGGCTAAAGATTAATTAGGTAATGTAGATTTAAAAGTTCTGTTCTTTAGAAGTGGAGAAGTGCTATGTAATAATCCAGTATTTGTTATTATCTGCTCCTAAGATAACATGACTTACTGATTCTATCACACAAAGAACAAAAAGTCTTTACTACTAAATTTTGGTTAGCTCTCTTTTTCTAAGCTGCTGAGATTTTGGAACAAGCATATATGGAACATAACCAATAATAATCCCTTCCTACACAGTCTCTTTGTATGAATAGGTTTTTCTGAACTTTCTTCCTATAGTAATGGATTAACTTTTCTCTAAAGGCCCTTGGCAGACACAGCAAAGTATTCTTAAGCTTTGGCCTCCAATTTACAAAGATACAGAGAGCAGAAGAGGATCAGAAGTATATGTGTGTCTGTGTGTGTGTGTTCTTTTTCCAACAACAGAAAGGTCCCTCTAGAGATAGTTAGACACAAGGAAAAGGGACATAGTCTCTTAATCTCCTTTAACAGACACTGTTCTTCAATTAGCTACCAAAACAAGATGACATATCCATCATGGGCTCTGAGGGGGCAGGGCAGATATTAGAATGCGAAAGACCATTAAGCATCTAATTTCATGGTATTTGTGCTAGAAAAATGATTGTTTTTCCTTTCCGCTGAATCATTCAGTTTGAATCTACTCAGAAGATGGCTGATTACCTGAGACAATGAAATATAGACTCTTCTTAGGAGGCACTTCCACTAGTAGCTTGTTTCCAATTACATAAAGTTGTTCTGTTAGTCAGTTCAAAACTGTGTAAATAATTCCCTCAAAATCTTTGAGTTCCTTTGTAATTCTGAGAGGAACTCTACAAAAGTCTTCAAGAATCAAAATCTTCTATTATTGAACACATCCCCATATTCATTTAGGAATGCTTTTCTCTCAGAAAACTTTACCCTTTGCCCCTCCACTCCCCTACTAGGGTAAGAAAATATAAAAATGCCTACTAGTGAACAAGTTTTAAGAATTCCTTTACTGAAAAATATCTCTTGTGTTAATTTAACATAAAAGGAATAGAAAGGAGTAATAATTCACTCAGTATTTTAAATCTGTTTCCTGATTTTTATCTAAACACATTATGACCAAGTAGCTTCCACTTCTACAAGCATATATACTTAAATATATAAATATATATTTACACATACACACACACATATATATACTTAATGTATATATTTAACAACACAGAATGGAAACATATCAAATGCTTAGATTCCATGCAACACAAAGCACTTCCTTTGGAAACATATTAATATTACGAAAAACAAATCATGGCGAGTAGCATGCAACAACTGTGAGGGAAAAATGAGGGTGGGGCAAGGGGACAGGAGGAACACAGAGAATGTAAAGAACAAAAAGTGTCATTGACCTGATTTGTCAGAGCTGTTGCCTGTGATTGGAGTGATGGAGCAGCTGGGATTAGCCTTTGCGCTGTCCTTGGAAGAAACCATTTTGGGTTTATTTTTCGTTGCCTCTAGTGCTTTGACCTTCTTGGCATGTTTACTTCCTTTGTAGTGGGCCTCGGCCTGGCTCTACAAAGGAGAACAAATCAGGCTCATTTTTTGCTACTTACAAACACCACAATGGATGATCATGCAGGAAAAAATACATTCAATCATAGGCACCACAGACATTTACAACTCATTGCTCAACTACGCTTTTGGCATTTAATCAAGTAGTATATCAGCATCAAAGAGATTTTAGCATAATATAACCCCCTATGTAAGATGAAATACAACTTTAAAAAGCAAACATTACAAAAATGGACAATAGGGATAGGGCAAAATTGTCACAAATGTGGGCTTTGCCATCAGTGCCCTCCCACCACTGCCCTGTTTGTGTTACTTTTCAAACATTTGGCCTTCATGGACCTCAGATTGGCTGACAGCGAGCTCCTTGAATGTCCTACCACAGCACAACCACCTATACAAAAAAAAAAACAAACCAAACTCATTGCCGTTGAGTCGGGTCCAACTTATAGTGACCCCTCTTTGGGTTTCCAAGGTAGTACCACTGCAGTAGATTGCCCAATCTTCCTTCCCAGGAGTGGCTGGTGGGTTTGAACAGCCAGGATTCTGGTTAGCAGTCAAATGCCTTGGCACTACACCACCAGAGCTCCTTAACCACCTATAACCATCCTATTTTTCCTCCCTTCAGTGAAAAACTTATCTGTCCTGTATCTAATTCCTGCACTTTGCTCTAAGACCAAATGACCTGATAAAGCAGCACGTTAATAGATGTTGTTGTTATGTGCCCTTGAGTCAATTCTGACTTATAGGGTCCTATGTGTCAGAGTATAATCTCCCCATAGGGTTTCCTAAACCATAATCTTTATATAGTAGATTGTCAGTTTTTTCCTCTAGCAGAGTGGCTGTGTGGGTTTGAACTGTCAACTTTTCTGCTTGTAGCTGAGCACTTAACCACTGTGTTACCAGGATCCTTTAACTGATGCTAGTGAGTGGAAACAGCACAACATTCATGAGATCTCTACATGCTCCTCATGTGCCATTCCAGTTCCAAGAACAGATATTATGAGCTACGAAGGAAGTAGGGACAATCCTTGTTTTGGATCTTGGATGTGAGTCTACAGTCAAAACAATTAATGTTCAATTAATTTATACAAAGCATCATGGCAGGTAGAACTGTGACTTCAACACTACATCAGAAGGAAGAAAAAGAGAAAGAAAAGTGATTATTAAAAATTTCCAAAGGACAAGAATAAATTACAGGAAATGGAGAAAACATTTCAACAATTTATTGATGTCTGCAAACTTTCTCTCTACCTAAAGAGCAAGGCTTCTCTCTTTTGGTGTCTAGTACTAATATACACATTAACAAAGAATCTAAGTATATTCATTCAATTTTATTTTAAATATGCACTGAAAATATGTACATGCATTTTGTAAACAAATACATATTATATGGCATATTGTTGTTGTTGTTTGCCATCGAGTCGGCCCCGACTCATAGAGACCCCTACTTGGGTTTCCGAGGCAGTATCACTACAGAAGTAGGAATGCCCAACCTTCCTTCCGAGGAGTGGCTGGTGGGTTTGAACCGCCAGCCTTCTGGTTAGCAGTCAAGTGCCTTAGCCACTATGCTACCAGAGCTCCCATATGGCATATTAGCTAAGCTATAAAAGTGAAATGAACAGTAAATCTAGCATATAAAATTAGTTTCTGTTAGAGGATTTCTAAAGAAATACAGTAACACCTGTAAAAGCTGGAAACTATATAATGTGGAAACCTGTTACAGAAGGAAAAAAAATTTTCCCACTAATAGAGAGCAATAGAAAAGTGGTAAGACTGCACCCTGTCAAAGGCAGAAAACTTGTGAGACCCAGAAAAACAAGCCAGTCCTGTCAAATTTCGGCTCTTCCAGGTTTCACTGTAATAACTTTTCTGTATATCAGTTTTCTTTCTGATAACACTACGTGACTGAAGATGATTATACTTTTCCATAGCAAACAGAAAACAGGTAGTATATGTGTATGTGTGTGTTCAGGTGGAAGTGACGATGGACAGAATGGGCCCTCTGACTTTACGGACAGGCATAGATTGAATTAGGACCCCCAAAATATGTGGTAGCATCCTAATCCTGATACCAGTGGATGTAATCCTATTTGGGAATAGTTTTATCTGTTATGTTAATTAGAGTATATCTGAGTAAGGTGGATTCTAAATCTAAACGCTTTTGAGAGCAGATTAGACACAACACACACAGGAGGAAAACAGATGCCAAGTGAATATTATCTGTCAGCCAAGGAAGGTATTGACACAACTGAGATTCTGATTTGGAATTTTAGCCTCCACAACTGTTAAGAAAATAAATTTCTTTTCTTTAAAGCCAGCCATTTCTAGTATTTCTGTTATCTTAGCTCTAGGAACTTCAGACGGGGTCAATGATGCTTCATCCATACACGCGGTGACAGGTTCAATGCAGATCCATGTATCTGCAATGGTGAACTAGCACAGTAAAACACATGGCGGAGGAGGAGATCAACAACAACAAAGATGACAAAAGCAGAATGGTATTAATGGAGACATCCTAAAGTTAGTAACATTGACTTGAGGTTTGATGAAAGGGATAATATGAATTGGTAGAGAAAAGCACATTTCTGATAAGAAGTAGGCTTCAAGAAAGGACTGTAGTTGACTGCCGTATAGTAAGAGGAATAGCTGGAAAGGAGCTCATGTGGGTCTCTTGGTAGAATATCTTCAATATGAGGCCAAGGAACCTGAATGTGCTACTCTGTGGAGTAAGGGATTATTGAGATGAGATTCTCAAGCAGGGGCACAATGGTGTAACTTTTAAATGGGGGAGATTTCTACAACAGCTATTTATTATTTGTTGATAGAATACTAAAGAGAAAAGACAATATAAATGGTACCAGGGAGAAATATAACCTTGAGGTAAATCATGGAGAGTATGAATATAATTTTTTTTTTTTTTTAAAAATCTCCTAATTAGAATACATTTGTCAATTTCTTGAAGTGTTGGTGAGTCCTTCTGCCCTTTGCTCCAACAGAAGCATTTCAGTTCTAACTACTAGATAGCAAGTCCTCTCTCAACAAGCCATGGTTAGACTAAGCCACCTAAAGCTAACTTGAGGGTGTTACTGGAGTGTTTCTTCTGAGTTCTCCACTGGATCTGCTCCAGCTCACCAGGCACATGTGGCTTTGCTCTCAGCTGACATTCATCCATATTTGGTCCAGCAACACTGGTGATGTTGAGCACCATTTGAATGCCTGCATCACTTCCAGTTCTTGGTGGAGAGTAAACTCATTTTACTCTGAGTTCCTGAATGATGCTGACAAACTTGCTCATGTTGAATATACCTAATGCAATCACAAATCTCAAAGGTTCACGAAGTGAGCATTATACCCATGCATTTGCTCTCCCACCTGAACTGAAGCTGGATGATAAATTAACAACACATTCTGTCTTTCAGTATTCCTTGGCTCTGTTGTGCTATTTCTTATGGAGTGCAAAGCAGTTAGGAAAACAATATGTTGTGTTGGTAGTAGTGTAATCTAGTGACAGGTTTTACTTCTGCATTACAATTGAAGATATATCAGTGGTTTTCCTGGTTTATAACTCAAGGTCTGTAGCCCTGTACTGATTGTACACAGTTCCTAACTTCCTAAATGCCTTTTAATGAAGAATTTTTTTATATCACAATTGACTTATCATGGCTATTATTTGGTTTGCTCATGGAATTTTCACGATGTTCTGACTATCAAGTTGGAAAAAAAAAAATCCCAAGAAGGGAGAAAAGTATAACATTATTTTTAAGTCATTTATTTATTACCATCTAAGTATAGGAGTCGGGGCCGACTCGATGGCAAATAACAACAACAACAACAACAAGTATAGTTAAAGTCTGGGATCACTGGTGGCATAGTGCCTAAGACATATGATTGCTAACCAGAAGGATGGCAGTTCAAACCCATCAGCCATTTCTCAGAAGGAAGACTGAGCAATCTACTTCCATAGTGATAACGATTTGGAGTCGAATCGACTTGAGGGCAGTGAGTGTGGTGTTTTTTCAATAGTTAAACTAGCTAATACAGTTGGATGAATACAAATTAAGAAAATGTACAAATAAAAATTTAAAAACTGAAAATGTGGAGGCGGGGCAAGATGGCAGACTAGGCAGAAGGATTGCACAGACCCTCTTCAACAAAGAAAAGGGAAACCAATTAACACAGACACAGAAGATAATCTTGGACCTCTGAGCCTTGAA